GAGATGATTTTATTAAATATTTCGGTCCATTCGTGTTATTCATAATTCAAGAAGAGATATTTCATTGTCTAACGGGAGTAAAAGGAAAGACTATTTCATTTTTCAAAAAAGTGAAGTCAGAGTTTTCAGGTATTGTGATGAATTAGTTCATTATGTTGTGGTCTTTCCTCTTAAACCTTCTACAAATAAGAAACAGTAACACTTTATTTTTCTTCGAATTACCTACCATAACCAAGGCACATTATTGAGAAATTCTTCAAGATCTTGTTTTGTCATCTTACGCCTTTTAATGAAGATGAGAACATTGACAGGGAAATAGATTTGAACGAAGAAGTTTCGTAAAGAGCGTCAACGGTAGTGTGAATGATTTTTTGACTGAGAAAATAAGCGAACAAGCAATCTCAGAGTTTTGGTAGTATAAAGATAAATTCTTCAAGATCTTGTTTTTGTCATCTTACGCCTTTTAATGAAGATGTGAATATTGACAAGAAAATAATATAATAGCCAATGCTCGGCGAGAGGTTTTTGTTTATAAAATTTTGTTGTTGTTCTCGACTTGATTTTTATTTTATTACCTCGTCTCCATAGTTACTGTTTGCAAATAGTCAATAATATTGTAGATCCATTTTATTGTTGTTCTTTCTACGCGCCGTTATAACACATTTTTATCTCATCATTTAATTTCTGTTGTGTATATATTGTTGTATAGAAGATATTTTAAAGTGATTTATGGAAAACGAATAGATAGATAGATAAACCGATATGTATCGCCATCTAGTATACCTAAATTCATCTAGAAAGTTTCATAAAAGTGACCCAAAAAACGGGGCTAACTTGGTAACCCGTGGCCCGATTTTAACGAAACTTGTTTTATTCTGTTTCTACTGTCATTTCATTACAAATATAGCGCTATTGTGCGCCGTTTTTGCTGTATTTAATTACAGACAAGCACACACACACACAAACAATTTTAGAGTTTTAGTAGTATATAGATTACTAATTTTTATGACAAGATAATAATTGCTAATTTGTTTAATCATGCCTGTTGGCTTCTAATCTGCTGCAGCCTTCACAAAAAACCTGTAACCCACTTTTTACGGGTTGATTCTGGTCGAGGTGTGATCCTTGTTCTAAAGGTTGATTCGCAGTGCACTAATTGTTGTTTCTCTCGTTAGATATTGAATCAACTAGTTATTTAAATGCTTTCAGGAGGAAGATCTAGGTTTGCTAAGTTGTATGTTAGGCGGACTGAATGTGCTATAAATTATATAGATGTAGAAGGTTACTTTATTTTTCTCACGCGTTGATATCCCATTATTTTCCTACTAGTTTATTGTCTTCTCTGGTAAGGACAAGCTACTGCGGATAGTTCGTCATTACAAAGTCTTATACGTCTATTATACTCCTGAATTCTACCATTTGTTGCCCTTTTTGTTCAATGCAAGGAATATTGTAAATGATGTTTTTGATCTCCATTGGATGTTTAGGTAGTTAATATGTATTAACTGCGATCGTATTGTGTTGGGACTTCTGAATACTTTTCTGACATTATGCTGTTTATATATCCTCTGTATATGTTAAGAGAGACGTTTGACATAAGGAAATATGGCAACATGTCTGTAATTGTATTCCTTCTCATTCTTGTTTATCTTCTTCATGAAGTGTTCAGGGTATTTATTGTCAAGGGAGTTTTTCTTTTTTCCTTTTAGCATCTTCGGTATTACAAATGTTGTTCATTTTGGAGACTATACAGTCTATGACGTCCGTCTAGAAATAGATGTTTGTTATTTTATTGAATTTCTGTTGTTAATCTTAATGCTGGATATTTGCTGTTTCGGTGGTTATTGAATTATGGAATCTGATGTTTTCTCTGGCTATACTACGAATTTATAACAACATATCCTGGGTCTTAGATAGGCTTGTTTGAGGGTGTTATGTTTGAAATACTTAAGAAAGTATAAACATTAATACTTTCTAAAGCACCATCTATATTTTCTGTCTATTTGAAATACACAGGAAGTTCATAAAGTAACTGTATTACATGAAATGACGCATCTTCAGAATGGGTTAACATCCGTTCCGGAGATAAACCATTTTCAGTTAGTCCAATTATTTTATGAATTCTGTATAGCTACAAAACGGATTAGTATTTCTTTTGTTGTCTGGCCTTTTTGAGGCAACTTATCTTTTTTTTCTTTATTTCGATAACATTGGCATGCATTTTAATAATACCTATGCATAAGCGTGAGAACAATCTCAAACTTCTTTGGGTCTTAGTTCGTGTGGGGCCACAAACTGTAAGAAACAAAGGTCATGTATGATATTCTAAGTTATTAGAACTACCCTTTTATAAAAACAGCCAATAGAAAATAAGTAAACTGGAGTCATGTAACTCTATTGGTGACCTACATTTGAGTCAGTTTAGTGGCGAATAACGGTTAGAAGATAACGAGATGACACACAAATTAGTTGAAACAAGTGTCTCTAATTTCGAGTCTTCTAATTTATTCCATCTACTGTGGATTTTGATTTTATTACGTAAGTTGGTTCGTATTACTCGAGTTTGTTATAATGGCGTTAAGTCTGGTTATATTTTAAGAAACATTCAATTACTTTGTTCTTTAACTTTCAAGACTATTTCTATAACTAATACAAAGACACTGTACTCACAATCACTAGTTTACTTACACTGCTAACCTATGTAAGTAAAACAAAACTAATGTAATATATTATTTTCGTTGACATAAAATACATCAATAGCTCTGATATTTTAAGTTAACTTCAATTACCTTAATTTCGAGGGAAGTGTTAACTTAAAAATTAGCTTGTACAATATCTTATGACCTTAATTTCGAGGGAAGTGTTAACCTAAGATTAGCTTGTACAATATTCTAATGAGTTAAAACAAATATAAAAGTTGTGGTAATAACTTTTTCATATTTTTCCCTGTTTGTGTTTAATTATGAATTATAATTTTTCGCGACAGGTTTAAGCATTACGTAACACTGACGTAGGGATCAGTTTCACATATAAATGAGCTCGCTGAGACAAGTAAGAATAAAAACATTTCCTTATACCTTTGCTTCTGTTTCATATAATCATATTAAAACTTCCAAAATAACGTTTTTTCCAACAGTCAATGGTCCTGTCTATTTCGTGTAAAAAACCAGTCCGTTATGATGTTTACTTCAATGGTCGCTATGAAACCCCAATAAACGTTGACAAAAGCCAACAAGTGTTCGTCTTGAAGGGAAGAAATCCAGAACTCTCAGATGACCAGTATATTTCAAACCTATATTTTCAGGTAAAATTATAATTCTTAAAAAAATTCGGCCTAGTTACGATATGTTTATACAAATCTATACATATGTTTTCATCTATACATTAAACCGATATGACATATTATTATCACCGCGTTTTCATAGTAAAAGTCTGAAATATGATAATGCTGTAATGTACCTCTAATTCTGTGTTTTCTATTACTTATACAGTAAACTCCTTATTAAGACCACCTTTGGGTCTGAACAAAAGTGATCTTACTAGGGATCGACAAGTTCATCAGTTAACTGCAAAATATTTGAATATTGAATTGTAATGTTATGTGTGATACTTCTTTGCATAGTGTACATCCAAACTACTAATAATTATCCATTTCTTGAATATTTTCTATTTTATTGTCTTGATTTCCATCATTCAAGGTATTTTACAAATTTTAGTTACAGACTAGTGTGTATAAATATTTTATTACACAAAAAAGTTGGTGATTTTGTATTTGTGTTTTGACGACATTGAAACTCTTCAGCAAATTTGCAATGGCTTTTGTTGCTGGTATTATGAGTCTGAATAACTTTGACTTTATCTGCCTATGATAGCTGAACACGATCAGATGGCTTTGCCTTTGGCGTGATTTTGGAATATAGTTTCTATGTCATGGAGAATTATGAGGGCATTTGACAATAAATTTCAATAAAATTCGAAACAGAATAAACTGCTGTTTTACTCATCGACGGATGTGGTATTTATACACAGTGTATCTGTCACGGTAATGTTATCAAAGAGTATGTGAAAACATCGCCCTTTCAAGTGGCTTCTTTTATGACCGCCTTCTATTAAATTTATAACCAATAGAAAGCCTAGATTTCAACTGATTGATTGCAATATGATTATTGCACGTTATGTTACAGATAATTGACAATTTAGCAGATGAGGAAAAAAAATTCCACGAGAATATAGTGGGGATCTAAGTTGAATTTCTAACTGCTCAAGTCACATGATTAGAGAGCCAGAAAAATTCTAACAGATACCTAACTTTCTCAGCTGTTGACATGTTATTATTCTGTGTTCTTCTGTGCATTATTTACTTAAAGAAAAATATTTTGTGGACTAGTAGCATTGGTGAAAGAATTAGGGCTAACATAGAAGAACAGTTGACGACAAAACAAAAAAGATCACATAGATAAGTGATATAATTCTTGATTCTCTTAACTATTCTTTATTTATTAGTAGCGAAAGTACTCGGCTTCGATCGGGTTATTACTTATGTTGGTATACTTGAGATGTTTATGTCAATGTGTGTGTATTCTGAACCCATTTTAGAATAAAAGTATAACCTATATACTTTTGTTGCTAAGCAACATTACTTAAAAGCCATTGTTGGAACTTATTGTTATCGAAACACACCGACTTTTCTATATATTAGAAGTTGTTATATATGGAACCTTTTCTTTCTTATGTGGCTTTTCGCTAGCTTGCTTCATTAAAAAGAATTTACCGACGTTGCACTGCCTCGACTGTACTTCTCTGCCTCTTTGTTGGTCAAGCTTGATTTCGCAAAATTTATTTATTTCAG